TCTCGTCAATCAATCTGATATTCACCTTTGAGAAATTCCAATGCCTCATCGGGCGTCATTTCATTCGACTCCTCCTCCTCATCCATCTTCAAAAACATCAGCAAATCAAAATAGTTATTGATAAAAGTGCATTCTTAGCCTTTTCACACAACATGTAGTAGCACAGGCAACACCATATTGTACCACAACAACAAACATTAAGATATTTATAATTTTTATTGATCGATAAATTAAGTACATGTAATGAATGATTTGGATGACGCCATTTATGAACGGATACACATGCTTACAAGTAATCAAACGTAGAAAGAACAACATCGCGAAAAAAGGCCGCTGTGCTTGAATTCATGATAATGAAAAATCAATAAACAGTAAACAGTAAAATCAACAAGTATGCAGTAAACGATTCGATATCGACTTGAGCTAGAAGAAGCGATCAATAGGAAAGAGTGACGTCATCAACAATAACTAATTTATGTCTGACACTGTGAATTAGAAAAAAATAAAACCTTGGCTTTAGGTTTTTTGCTTTTTGAGAATTATGAGATTATATGAGGAGGTTTAGAACAGCTACAGTAACCGATACTGTACCAAAACAAAACACATACATGAACTACAAGACACCAGAACTCGGCTTCCTACCAGGCCACGACTCCTTCGCGTATTTTTTCTTATGTGGTTCATCGCTGTCCATAGGTATCATATGTGGATGCACTAAAATAGTTGTTTAGTTTTCACCAAAGTTTTTAGGAAATAAGTATGAAGCAACAAAAGCGTTTAACGTAGCGGATAAAGTCTACCAGAAATGAGAAAAAATGACCAAACAAAAGACATCCGTTCTTGCGTAAAATTTATCAAAAAGAAAGAATAAGCAAAATCTTGTTCAAAAAATTAAAACCTACAATTATGTTGGCCTGGTTCAGGTAACGTTTTACTATACAACTCCAGATCAGGAGCTGCATTCAAGGCCATTCCTCCCAGTGTGGAACACATTGGAGCCGCCAATGACACGTCACGGAATGGTCGTACAATCTGTAAAAAAGGCCAAATATGGTGAAAACTAGGCTAAGAATAAACACAGTTTTCATTACTTTTTGAAGCTCAAACACTATGATGCTATTAGAGAATAAGAGAAGAATCGTGTAAAGCAGATGGCCCAAAAATATTACAAATAAATCTAACCTTTCGAGGAGGTTCTTGTCCTTTAGTAGCAGGGGCAGTTCTTTTATTGGGGTTATTGGAAATAATGGCGGTTGCTACAAGATTCCGGAAACGTCCAATACTTGGATCAACGTCTTCTGAAAACTCAAAAGCATAAACACCACACCATCCCAGCATGACTTTTTACAAAATTTCAATACATAGTTCCAAATACTCCAATCTCGTATTTCCAAACGTCGGTTTCTTTTTCCAAGGAAAAAAGTACCAAATTTCGAAGTTCAACAAGCAATCATACGCGGAATGATGACATATTAAAGAGGATGATTGGTTGAATAACGCAGAGGTCATCTCTAAAAAGCTGTTTCAATAAAAGGAGCACATACTACCACTGTTCG